CCCCTCAGAGCTCCTCACAGACCGCATCCCACTCGACCCCCGGCCGAAATAGTCCCATATCTATGCCCACCTCATTGGACACCACTTCCGCCACTCAACTTCTGGCCACTTTCAACAGCAACCTCAATACAGCCTCACCTACTGTTCCCTCTGCGTTAATAAACTCCGCTCAAGAAATGATTACCAAACCAGAGGTATGGCCACCACTTGACTATCACTTAAGTGTATATTCAATCTAATGTATGACAGCTGTGTGTGTGAGTCAGGAATTGAACATTAGATACTGTTGTGTGAATGTTAGCCAATCTCTGGTTTAATGATTAAATCATGTTTACAACAATGAAATGCATTCATATTTTGAGTACAATTTATATTCTTTTTATTCAATGAATGCTTTTATTTATTCAAAACCTAGCCGTTAGTTAGTATTAAGTCTTAAAGCAGTTGACTTGAAGTCTTGAGTTAGATTTGGTTTGAGGTGACATTCTAGTGAAGAACCCATTGAATAGAATGTGTGACAAAAGAAAACGAAATGAGAAAAAGGCAAACAACAGCCCAAACAGTGCTAAGAAGCGTAAGACAGGGCCCGGTGCTAAAGGGGGCAGTCGTGCCACCAAAAAGCAGTCCAACAATTCAGTCGACTCTCTCACTGTAGACTCGAATAGTGAGTTGGGGTCGAGTACTGACAGCCAGTCCATTGAAATCTCACACAATGTTTGTCATTAGTTATAAGACTATTGTTATATTGTTAATGAATTGATGATTGAAATGATGGTTTGATTTGAAGGGCTCTGCAAACCAAGAGAGCAGTACTCAAGCGAATGCTGTGGTTCACGGGAACGGTGGCAAGGATTTGACGACTGGATCGCAACAAACACCTGAGACGGAAGCCAATGGAAGCGATCCGCCGAAGACTAGTAAGAAAAAGAAGAACCGATGCACTAAATGTAAAGTAAATGTGGGCGTCATTGGTAAGCATTAATGATTGTCGTGTTGCGTGTGTTGTGTTGATAGTGGAGTAATGTTGGCGTTTGTCTTGTCTTTGTCTCAATAGGGTTTCCGTGTCGATGTGGTGGCACTTTCTGCAGTACTCACCGGTACGCCAATGAACACAACTGTTCGTTCGACTATCGAGAACACGGCGCTGAAGAGATCCGCAAAAACAATCCACAAGTGATCGGAGAGAAAGTGACGAAGATTTGAGGGATATATTTATGAATAGATTATTACAAACCGGTCTCTTATTATAGTTTATACAATTGAATTGAATTATAGCTAAATTACATTTTGGGTATTCATTCATAAAACTCTTTAAAACAATTGTCATTATTTTCCAAATCATCAAATCATTACGAGAAGTCAAAACCCATTAAATCACTATTTTATGTCTGCAATCATTATTACGATTACAACAATTGACGAGACATTAGAAACAAATTCTATAAATTGATTATTGATTCTGATTAATACCACACACCTCACACCAATTCAGATAACAGTTTTTGTAATATTATTTAAATTGATTTAATGGCAGTTGAGATAGACTTTTGCTTATATTATGTATTATACGAAACGTCATAATTGTTAACAATTTCTCTCTATTATTGCATCCGTTTATTGTTATATAAATAGAAACTCTTGTGTCTAAACTCGATCTAAATCTAACGCCAATTTATATTATATTTATTTAATTTTCTTATTATTGATAACAAATAGATATCTATTATCTGATTCGCGATCAGTGCATACATGAGACCCCGAACGCCAGTCCAGTCATTATTGATTTTTATATTGAATCTAATGTTTATATATGGCTTTGATTTGAATTGTTTATAGTTTTAATATAGAGTTACCGCAGGTAACCATCGCTTGTATGTTTGTCACTAATATCTCTTCAATTGTGACTTATTTCATGACATGACTGGTGGACACCGTTAGTCTCATGTATTAAAACTATAGAATTAATGATTAAACAATAAATAATAATTTGATGCCATTTTGCAATTGATGTCATCTTTTGCCTCATTTGATAGTTTCAAGTAATCTGTATTTGCATTGCAGTTATCATACAATACGATACAATACTATTAATATACAATACATGTAAATGACCTGAAAATCAATTATATTATCAATTTTTGAAGATTTTAATAAACAATTTAAATTTCTCTTAAATACACTGATTATTCAATAATTGAATTTCAATTGACATCGACTACAATATTACTGTTAGTCTACAGTAGTATTAGTAATATTACTGTTCATACTATCTTTACAAACGGTATCCATTTGACAACCACTTCAACCACATTCACTACACTATTACTGTAGTTATAGTCTTCATATGAATGGATTGGGAAGAAGTGGTCATTAATTGACGACATGTTGTGTCTGATTGAGTGGATGACAGATATTGATGTGATTTATACGCAATAGAGTCAACGGAAACCTCTGGAACCGCCAGCGCCTGTACTGATGGTTACGGGGTATGGCGTAGACATTGAAGTAGGTGTTGGTCATCGACTTCTCCACAACTGTGGCCTCGATGTGCACCAAATCCCTGGACAGAAGGGGTCGACCCAAGAGTGTGAACGAGTTGTTGCCGACGGCCAGACATTTCTCGAGTTTTATGGTTTCGCCCGCTTTGGCCGCAAATGAGTTTCGGACGCAAATCATGTCATTGTTATGAATGAGGAACTGTTTGCCGAAGAAGTGGATGACAGCGAAGTGTTGGCCACAGTTGGCGTCGACGATGTGTCCGTTGACCCGATTGAACAGTTGGTTCACTTGAGCCAAATGGGTGGCCGACTGCTCGTCTTTGATCAGCTCTTGAGTGACGACCCGCTTGTGAGTGCTTCCCGTATTGATGGCCCGGTATGTCAGCGCACATGTCGTCCGCAATGGTCTCAATGCAGTCAATGTCCGCAACCATTGGTTGGCAATCATTGTTGCAATCAATTGATTGACACGTGATTTGCACTCAATTGCAGCCAAATGTAAATAACACACAATCACTGAATCACTGCAACAGATGTCGCCCTCACTCTCACACTCTGTTTGTCTGTAATTCAGTTCAATTGATTCAATGATTTAATGATTTAATGATTTAATGATTTAATGATTTAATGATTTAATGATTTAATGATTTAATGATTTAATGATTTAATGATTCAATCAATTGAAATGAGCCCTCAATTCATATTTCAATACTTTGCGATCAAATACTATTCATTGAATAAATAGTTTGATTGAAGAGTTTATTTGGCGTGAAAATAGTATAAATTGTCATAATATATAGCATAATGTGATCTGACAGCATGAATATTGCAAATGACTCTGGGTGAATATTGAGCAAAGTTTTGAAAACTTTATTTTCTAAACAAAAGTTTTGTTTTATGAATTGATTGTATTTGAATAGAATTGGATTAGTAAGTAGTTTCAATATGTCACATATAGTTCTCACTGAAAACCAATGATTGCACTAATAATATAGAAATAAAATGTCAAAAAATAATTGATAGAAATCTAGAGATAAGTCAGATATGAACTAAACATAAATC